TCAGAGATTTTGAATTGCTGAATCGTTGTGTAAATTAAGATGTTAAGAGTAGTTTTCACAGAGTAATAATTTGAAAGCCACTGAAAGAATGACACGTGCCTAATGTAGATTTTATTGCACTACTGTACCTGTTTCTACCTCATAAAAGTGAGAACAGGAGTCTGTATTTTCTACTTCGTCGTTTGTGAGTCTGTTGTTTGCTTATTATCTTCATGCTGCAAATAGTCTGGAAATTCTTTAAATGGGTCAAGTGATGTATTATGGATACATGTTAAATGGTATAGAAATTTCACTTTTTATTTTTTGCATTAAGAGCAATGAGATCGGTAGTCCATGTTTCTTCAGCTCTACCCAGAGAAGGGCAATGTAGGGGGTAAGATGAAGTTTGCAAAATATTTTATAGTAGGCTTTTTCCAAAGGTATCTTCAGAGTTACAGAAGTTTAAATATAGCACAAAGAATCCCATATACCCATCACCCTGATTCCTGAAGTGTTAATATTTTACCATATTTGTCCATTATGTCTCTATTCTCCAAGTATTATATGCGCCATTATATGCATAATATATAATATGTAGCATTTTATATAGATATATGGCATGTATGCACTATATATGTTTTTTTCTGAGCCATGTAAAGAGTAAAATGCAAACATAACGTGCTTTTACTCCTAAGTACTTCAGTGTGTATTCCCTCAAGAAAGGACATTTTCTTCTATACAGCTACCGTAGATTTCTACACTTTTCAAAATCAGAACGTTTATATTGATACCATACTATGACATGTCCTGTAGACCATTTTCCAATATGCCAGTTGTCCCACTGTGTCCTTTAGTACAAAAGAAAAAGGATTTTTTCCTGGTCGAGGAGCTAATCCTAGAGCACATGTTACATTTAGCTGTCATTTCTTTTTTAATCTAGAACAGTTCCTCAGTCATTCTTTATCTTTTATAACCTTGACATTTTTGAAGAATACAATCCATTTATTTTGCAGAATTTCCCTTAGTTTGGGTGTGTCTGGTTTTTCCTTACAAGATTCATTTTATGCATTTTTTGGCCAAAATACCATAGAAATACTGTACGTCTTACCAGAAAGCTGTAAGAGGTTTTGATTCTTCCCTGCAAATGCATTTTCTAAATATCACTTTTAATATTATATAGAGAGCAGAGTCAGATTCTCACATTATAAAAGTTCCTGTTATATTTTTTCTCCAATTGCTTTTTCTCAAGAAAATGTGTGGCCTTTCAGGTAGCTTTTACAAAGTGGAAGTTACTACATAAAATTAGGATGGGGGGCAGGGAAGAGCTTTATTAAAGCTCTAAGTTTAAGCTTTTGAATATGTGTTGTATATAAATGAACACGGGCATCATGATGCAGGGATTGGGCCTTTAAACCCTTGGCCAAGAATGATATAAATTATTTATTCTTGGAGTACTTCTGCTAAAACACTGAAGTCAGTGTACTACTCTCTTTTTAGAAGTTTTACACCTTTTATTTTTGGCGCGGGGGATGGAGTCTTGTTCTGTCACACAGGCTGGAGTGCAGTGGCATGATCTTAGCTTACTGCAACCTTTGCCTCCTGGGTTCAAGCAATTCTCCTGCTCCAGCTTCCCTAGTAGCTGGGATTACAGGTGTGCACCATCATGCCTGGCTGATTTTTTGGATTTTTAATAGAGACAGGGTCTCACCCATGATGGCCAAGCTCGTCTTGAACTCCTGACCTCATGATCTGCTGTCCTTGGCCTCCCAGAGTGCTGGGTGTGAGCCACCGCCAGAAGTTTTACACCTTTTCAAAGCACACCTTCTTTTTGTTTTGTTTTTTTGAGGCAGAGTTTTGCTCTGTCGCCCAGGCTGGAGTGCATTGGTGCAATCACAGCTCACTTCATTCTCTACTTCCCAGCCTCCAGCAGTCCTCCCACTTCAGCCTCCCAAGTAGCTGGGATTTCAGGTGCATACTACCATGCTCAGCTAGTTTTTGTAGAGATGGGGTTTTGCCATGTTGCCCAGGCTGGTCTCTAACTCCTGAGCTCAATCTATCCGTCCTCCTCAGTCTACCAAAGTGCTGGGTTTACAGGCGTGAGCCACCATTCCCGGCTTCCAAGGCAGACATTTAAGTTTAATAAATGAGGAGATAAGTGAGAACCCTGTTGGATCTGATAGAAGCAAACAAACATTTATTATTACTGTTACATTGTTTAAAATACTAGCCCCTTCTATGTTCATGTCCTGTTCTTACTACCTCTTAGAATTATTTAAAAAAAAAAACCAAAAAACCCTACTCAATAATTTATTTGACTTATATCTCAGCAGTAATAAAATTAGTTAATAGTATTGGCATCATGGTTCTTTGTGCATTTCTCCCTTATCCTACCCCCAAATTGATTTCAAATGATCTCTTGCTCTAGTCTAAGAATGTTTATATTGATGGGCCGTGGTGGCTCACGCCTGTAATCCCAGCACTTTGGGAGGTCGAGGAGGGTGGATCACAAGGTCAGGAGTTCAAGACCAGCCTGGCCAACATGGTGAAACATCATCTCTACTAAAAATTCAAAAATTAGCCAGGCATAGTGGTAGGCACCTGTAGTTCTAGCCACTTGGGATGCTGAGGCAAGAGAATCGCTTAAACCCAGGAGGAGGTAGAGGTTGTAACGAGCCAAGATCATGCCACTGTACTCCAGCCTGGGCAAAAGAGCGAGACTCCGTCTGAAAAAAAAAAAAAAAAGAATGTTTACAGAGATTAAGAAAAGTTCAGATTCTGGCTTTAACATACATAATTGTTTCTTTATCTGTAAACAGAAGAGAATGAGTTCATTCAAACCAGAAAGACTGCAAAAGTAGTCTGGGAATTTTGCTCCATTACTTAAAAGTTCTATAATAAAATAAACATGTCGTGTGTTTTATTTTTACAAATTTTTAAAACATTAGTATAGAGTGCTACTTCTTATATTCTATATCAAATAATTTTCAGTAATCTCTAGGTAATTTTTGGCATTAAAATCTATATTATAAAATAATTTGAGCATATAATTTATAATCACTTATGCTAAAATCACCTATTTGAAATTATGTATGAGGTTTTCAAAGTTTATAGTGCTTTGGAAAAAATGTAAATGTTTCTTTGCTTATATATCTTTATTATAAGCTGTAGTATGTATCATATAGTTGTCAAGGATGCTGATAGATACTTAGTATTTAAAGGTAACTTGTTTAAAGTTACTCAGCTGTCTAGGACTAGAAGCTGGCTGTTTTGGTAACAGTTTGTTGCTGTGTTTACTTATATGATGATTGGATTCATTAGAATTTCTCTATATTTTCATAGCTATATCCATGGTCCTATGAAAATATTGTGTGTGTGCTTATACATATATGTATAGTAAGTACAAAGTAGAAAATGAAAGTTCATTTTCTGCTTTTGACAATTCTGGTCCCCAGAGATAACCTTTATTAATATATTGTCTCAAGTTTGATCCTACCGTTTTCTCTGTATTCATGAGCATACCTGTGAAGCATAATTTTTAAACCAAAATAAATGTTACACAGTAATGTACATATTAAAAATGCTAATCTACACCTGACCCTTTTTTAAAAACTGCGATATATTGTAGCCAACTTTTTATAGGTATATATTGATCAACCTTATTCCTTTTACTGCTGCATTATATTTCATTGCATAAATGTACATAATTCATTACCAATAGATAAGACATTTCCATGGGTTAGAATTTTTCAGTATTACAAATAATGGTTCAATGAAATATTTAAGTCTTTGTGCACTTGTGGAATTAATTCCTAGAAGTAGAACCCTTATATTTTGATAGGTATTTCCAAATTGCCTCCCAAAATGCTTGTATCTCTTTACTTCCACTGTCAGGTCTAATAATTTTCACTCAGATTATCGTATTCCTTACCCAGTCTGTTTTTTATACTCTAAACTCTTTTTTCTTTTCTTTTTTTTTTTTTTTTTTTTGTTTTTTTTTTTTGAGACAGTGTCTTGCTCTGTGGCCTAAGTTGAAATGCAGTGGTGCGATCACGGCTTATTGCAGCCTCAACCAACCTGGGCTCAAGCAATTCTCCCAACTTAGCCTACTGAATAGGTGGGACTACAGGCGCATGCCACCACCACACCCAGCTCTTTTTTTATATTTTTAGCAGAGATGGGGTTTTGCCATGTTGCCCAAGCTGGTCACAAATTACTAAGCTCAAACAATCCACCTATCTCAGCCTCCCAAAATGCTGGAAATTACAGGCGTGAGACACTGCGCCTGGCCCAAAAACTCTTTTTCTAACAGTAATATAAATTGTCTTTTACAGACTATACTCATATCATATGTTTCTTCTTTCAGAAATAGGTGTTAAGTGTATCTAGCATGGAATGTATCTCATTGTGAAACCGTAGCCTAATTTATTTCAAATTACAGTTGAAAATTTATATTTTTTTAGCAAATTTTCTTAGGTTAAGCCCACCTAGTTCAAGGCACTACAGACTCAAGATTTCTTTCTTTTCAACAAATTATAGGTAACATCGCTAAATTTATAGTGAAAGAATATTGGAACCTTGGAACTTCAATATTTGAACTTTGTTTTGAAATGTAATTTGTTATAAAAATATTATATTGCATGTGGAAGTCAGGGACAGTTTATTATTATTATTTGTACCTCCTACATTGTATAGGAAAGTGCTATTTATATAAAAAAATTCTTAATAGAAGTCTTCAGTTGCAAAGTCTGCTGTACAGACTTTAGATCAGGGATTGGCAAACTATGAGTCATGTGCCAAATCCTGTCCTTCACCTGTTTTGTAAATAAAGTTTTATGGGAACACATTCAGACTCATTCATGTACATATTGTCTATGATTTCTTTTGTGCTACTATGGTAGAATTGAGTTGTTGCAGCTGTGTGGCATCCAAAGCCTAAAATACTTATTCTCTGGCTGTTGGCCAACCCATTTTAGCTCATAAACACTTTGGCATTAATATGTTTTGTTTTGTTTTTTGTATAGCATATAGTAAGATGCTCTGCCCACATTGTGCATAATTTATGGATTTATTCAAGGATTTATGCAAGTGTGGCTGCAAGAAAAAAACGTAGACGTGAACTTGCTAGGTTGTAGAGCATCTGTGTGTATTAAATTTTGTTAGCTTTTGCCTTCCCAAAGGGATTATTCCAGTTCATATTTAAACTACTAATTTTGTGATAGGGCCTCCTTTACCATAGCTCTGCTAACTTAGTGCATTCACACACTTTGTCTTTACTAATCTGCTGGAGGAAAATGATACTGTGGATTTGATTTGCATTTGTTTTTATGTGTTAGATTGAGCTTATTTTCATATGTAAAAGCCACTCGTCTTTCTTTTTCTTGAGCTGCCTTTTAATGTCCTTCCTGATACATTTCTCCAGACTTTGTTACTCATATAAGATAGGTAGTGAACATGTGTCAAAGATTTATTTGACTCTAATGCGGGAACCAGCCCGATGACAAGGCTGATTGAGAGGAGGATGTATGAGCCTGAAGTGTAGCCTCATTGAAAGAAAGCAAATTCTTACAGGGCGAAAACAACACCACAACTCTAAGGGCTATTTTTTCTATGGGACAGAATTCATTTGCATTTTACAAGGTAAAAAATAAGATTTTCAATTTATCTTTTACAGGACATTTTCTAATTTTACAATGTTTTCCCTAATCAGTAGTAAATAGTCATTCAAAATTCTCCAAAGAATCAGGTGACTGTTAAGCAAATTGTTGATACTTGGGTTTGACTCTAAAAGGACATGCCATAATCTTTTGCCTTTATTTCCAAGTTTTGGATAATTTTTCTTAACATTTTTCTCTAATTGAAATGATTTCAAGTAATATTATTTCTGTATAACTTAATAACGAACTTCTAAGAAGGTCACATAGCTCACTATTGTCTCTTCTAAAACATACTTTCCTTTTTTCCTCTGTAGGAACTCATTATACAATGACAAATGGAGGCAGCATTAACAGTTCTACGCATTTACTGGATCTTTTGGATGAACCAATTCCAGGTGTTGGTACATATGATGATTTCCATACTATTGATTGGGTGCGAGAAAAATGTAAAGACAGAGAAAGGCACAGACGGGTAAGTGTTTTTAGTAATTTTAAAAAATATATAGTATATAATTAGATCATTTAATAATGTATTTCTGCCAGTGATCTCAGGCTGCCGAAATATGTTTACATTTAATATAAGTAACTGTCTACATTTCATATGTGATACATGTTCTTTTCTTTTTTTCTGTGTTTAATTTTTTTGGGTTACTCAGACCCCATATCTTCCCAGAAAGAATTTAGGTAGCTAAAAAACCAGGAAATACAATCAGAAGGAAAGGGGAAAATACAGTACAGGAGTTGGGGGAAGAACAGGGCAAATTCAAGATATGGAGGTCAGCATGATTTTTGGCTTTGAGCAGCTCAGCAGCTAAGGCAAAAAAGGAAACTCGCTGCATAACTCTTACTGTTGAAATAGAAGAAATCTACTGGGGGCAGGTAGTTTTCTGGGATTTTGCTGTTTTCTTTCATTCCCTTTCCCAGTGTTTGATTCTGAGATATTTCTCAACTTGGATCCCAAATAAAGCTTATTGAGTGTTATAATGATTTGCTAACTGTTTTTTTTAAAATGGGTTTAACATATTAAAGTACAATGTATGGATCCTTTTTGTTTATGGTCGTGACTTATTGAAAATGTAATCCAAAGTACATTTTTAAAAATTTATTTGTTTATTTATTTATTTATTTATTTAGGCAGTGTCTCACTCTTTTGCCCAGACTGGAGTGCTGTGGTGTGATCTTGGCTCACTGCAACCTCTGCCTCCCAGGTTCAAGTGGTTCTCCTGCCTCAGCCTCCTGAGTAGCTAGGACTACAAACATGTGCGCTACCATGTCTCATGGCTAGTTTTTATACAAAATATGTTTTTTAAGAAACAAAATATATATATATATATTTTGAGACAAAGTCTCATTCTGTCGCCCAGGCCGGAGTGCAGTGGTGCAGTCTTGGTTCACTGCAATCTCTGCCTCCCAGGTTCAAGCGATTCCTATACTCAGCCTCCTGAGTAGCTGGAATTACAATTCTGTGCCATCATGCCAAGCTGATTTTTGTATTTTTAGTAGAGATGGGGTTTCACCATTTTGGCCAGGCTAGTTGAACTCCTGGCCTCAAGTGATTCGCTGACCTCAGCCTCCCAAAGTAGAAAATCTTTCTGAAAAATAAAATTCCAAATCTCAGAAGGTCCTGTATAATTTTGGTGTTGGAAATCTACTTGTCAATGAAAATGACTGTTTACACAGATTAATTACAAGCTTCTGTATTAATGTACATACGGGTGTGAAACCTGAAATTGAAATTACATTATATTGTTTATGAAAGGTACAGCTTCTGAGATTCATCAGATGATAATTATGTTCAGTGCATATCTAAAAATAAGTACATGAAATCGGTGCTTTAATCTAGTGATTCTTAAACTTTTTGCTCTCAGATTCCCTTTAAATTGTTAAAAAAAATATTGAAGAACCCCATGGAGCCTTTGTTTATGTGGTTTTTATCAACAGATATTTACCATATTAGATACCTCATACACAGATAATATAGTTGGAAAAGCAATGAGTATTTTCATAGTCTTTTAAAATTATTGCAAATATTCTTTTTTGATACTACATTAAAAGAACAGTTGTTAGTTTCTTAAAGATTAGTTGTAATGTGTACTTTGAAACTGCAACAATGAACCTTGTCTTCTGTTACATTAAAATCCATTGATTTTGAACCTTGAACTTTGAATATGTGATTTTATAACATGCAATGATCATTTGGAAAATACTGATTCACTGATCTATGTGGATCTTTTAAATGTTGACACTTTTATTATAGGATATAATATTTTAAAAATCACATTTGTTAATTTTACCTTCGATCTCTTCAGAAAAGTCTCTAAATATTGGGAACCTCTCATCCTCACAGTGATGGATACAAGTTTCCTAAAATTCTAATTTTTACCAAATAACTCAAATTCTATCATTAGAAACAAATACACATTTATTTTACTTAAAAATGACGGGATTACTTGGTTTCATTATTGAGAAAATATCTGTCAGATTCCCAAGTCTGAAAAACCATAGTTTGGTGTCACTTTTTCAAGTAAAAATGGTATTCCATGTAAGGGTCTAGTTTATTTTGCGACTCAAATAAATTATACAAGTGCCTTTCTTTAGGACATAACTTCACACTTCCACATGCAGCAGATATGTATAGTTATGCCTAGTTCCTTATGCATAGTTCTTATGTCATCACACAAAATATTAAAAACATTGAATGATTGAGACATTGCAGTTTTTACTACTTCATCAAAGATGCTCTTATTTGAAACTGGCGTTTTACTTATTTATGTATTTGATTTTACCGGGAAGCATGGCAGTCACGAGTGTAATGACTGTCATTACATTTGAATGACACTGCCTGATTTTTGCTAAGGAGCCAGCGGTTTTGCCATTGGTTTTGCATTTTCAGTAAAAATGTCAACACAATGAAAAAAATACATAATGTCTTGTATATTTTGTAAACAGTTTTCTCTTTCAGACCCCTTGAAAAGAGTCTCAGGGATCCTTCAAGGTGTCTGTTGCCCAGGCTGAAGTGCAGTGGTGTGATCTCAACTCACTGCAACCTCTGTCTTCAGACTCAAGCAGTTCTCATGCTTCAGACTCCCAAGTAGCTGGGGTTACAGGTGTGCACCACCACGCCTGGCTAATTTTGTAGTTTTAGTAGAGATGGGGTTTCGCCATGTTGGCCAGGCTGATCTCAAACTCCTGGCCTCAAGTAATCCACCTGTCTTGGCCTCCCAAAGTGCTGGGATCACAGGTGGGAGCCACTGCACTGGGCCTACGTTAAATTTTAAAGTCTTTCTATGTCAATGCATATACCCAACCTAATTCTTTTTTTCAGTGAACTTTTTTGTTATACTTGTAGCCTTCCTATCTCAGATTATTTTGAAGCAAATTGACATTCTGTAATTTCAAATATTGCTATTTCAGTATTTTACAAAATGGTTGCAGTTTAATTGTTGTTCCATTTTTATTTATTAGCTTCCATATTTTATGGGGAGTTTACCCCACATCAACCATTTGGATTCCCTGAAGTACAGATGGTACAGGGAAGGGAGTAATCTGGAAATACTAGGTTCCTTAGCAAACTCTAAGTTGACCAATGAGATGTTTTGCTTGCTTGCCTGTTGTTTGTTTCTCTGTCTTCATGGACTCACGGATTTAAGTATATTTGTGTTTTAATCATCACAGTTATTATCCTTATTGATTTTCATATTCTTTTTAGATTAGTGGGAGCTTATTTAGTTTATAATATGTGTCCTTTGACATGTCCTTAGATAATCCTAATTCATAGACATTTCCTGCAGCAAACCTGGAATCAGCCATTTCTCCAAGGAGCTCTGATTCCACTGAAGGAAAATATAATATAGATACAATCTGGGCACTAAGTGGTACTTGTTACTTCTGGCTTGCCTATTGTTTCTAGCCTCCTAAGTTTACATGACTCTTCTAATTTAAATTCATAACTGTAGGACTAAACTGCTAGTTCTTAAATCTGCGTTTCCTTTAAGTCATGACAAAATTTGACCATCGCGAACATAGTCATTTCATTTACCCTACAATACACACCTACAACATTGTCAGAATAAGTGTACCAACACCATCACCAACAATATGTCTACTGAAAAATTTTAGGTAATCTGCCTCCAGCCTACTGGGTAGCTGGGACTGCAGGTACAAACCACCATTCCTGGCTAATCTTTTTTTTTTTTTTTTTTTTTAAAGAGACTGGGTCTTGCTATGTTACTCAGGCTATTCTGAAACTCCTAGCCTCAAACAGTCCTCCTGCCTTTGCCTTCCAAAGTGCAGAGATTACAGGTGTGAGCCACTGTGTCTGGCCTATTCTTTATTTAATCCGCCACAGTTGTTCATACAAATTACTTTGTTGTAAAGTCCCTT